GGACACCGGAAGGGCTGGTGGCACACGGGGGACACGCGACACAGCGGGAGGGACACGCAGGGATGGAGACAGACACACAGGGGACACGGCAGGCACAGGGACACCAGGCATTCCCAGCTCCAGGGATGTGGGACATTCCCAGCTCCAGGGATTTGGGACATTCCCAGCTCCAGGGATTTGGGACATTCCCAGCTCCAGGGATTTGGGACATTCCCAGCTCCATGGGCCACGGGATCCCGGACACAGCCAGGAATGTCACCTGCCCTCTCCCAAAGGCCACACTCAGCAATGTCCCCTTCCCACAGCTCCAGTGACCCGGGCATGGAATCCATGGGAAAAGAGGGATGAAATCCATCCCAAACCACCAATTCCTGGATGTTTCCTGAGGATTCATCCTGGGGTTTTTTTCTGCAGGGAGTGAGGGGGGGATGTCTCCCTTGGGAAAGGAGAGTGGAAGCACTTCCAGACCTTTGTTCTAGGCCCAAAATTTGGGTCCTTCCCCTCTCCCAAAGTTTTTCCTTTCCCAAAGGGGAATCACGGAATGCTTTGGGTTGGAAGGGCCCTGAAAGCTGCTCAAATTCCAATCCGCTTCCACGAGCAGGGAACAACCTCCCACCAGCCCAGGCTGCTCCAACACCCCCACATCCCCCTCCCCTGGCAATCCCCTCTGGAAAAGAGGGAATAAACCACCACCACCACCACCACTCCACGGGGAATTCCGATCTGCAGCTTTTATTGTGTTCCCGCTCCGGGGAGTGGGGAAAAAAAAAAAAGGGATCCATTTTTTCCCACTTTAAATCTTGTTGAAAGCAGCGATGTCCACGCTCTGCACCTGCAGGGAGAGAGAGAGAGAGAGAAAGAAAGCAGAGCGTGATTGCCGGGGGAAAATTCCAACAACCCCCTGTCCCTTTCCCTCTTGCAGAACTCACGTAGTCCTCGAACTTGGTGATCTCCTCCTCCAGGCTGTCCGTGCCCACTTTCTCGTCCTCCAGCACGCACTGGATCTGCAGTTTGCGGATGCCGTAGCCCACGGGCACGAGCTTGGACGCCCCCCAGAGCAGCCCGTCCATGCGGATGGAGCGCACGCGCTCCTCCAGCTGCCCCATGTCCGTCTCGTCGTCCCACTTGGGAAGGAGGGGGGAAAAAAAAAGCGGGAAGGGGTTGGTTGTAGGAGCTCCTCTTGGAATTGGGCAGGAGATCCCTGTGGGGATGAGGCAGTGGAGCTGAAGTGTCCTTTCCCAGAGGCTCCAGGGAGAGCACGGGGAGATTCCAAAGGGGCTCCAGGAGAGCTGGAGGGGAATTTGGGGGGGGAAAAATTTGGGAAGGAAGGAAGGAAGGAAGGAAGGAAGGAAGGAAGGAAGGAAGGAAGGAAGGAAGGAAGGAAGGAAGGAAGGAAGGAAGGAAGGAAGGAAGGGTGGAAGGAAGGAAGGAAGGAAGGAAGGAAGGAAGGAAGGAATGAAGGAATGAATGAAGGAATGAAGGAAGGAATGAAGGAATGAATGAATGAATGAATGAACAATGAATGAATGAATGAATGAATGAATGAATGAATGAATGAATGAATGAATGAAATGAATGAATGAATGAAATGAATGAATGAATGAATGAATGAATGAATGAATGAAATGAATGAATGGAATGAATGAATGAATGAATGAATGAATGAAATGAATGAATGAATGAATGAATGAATGAATGAATGAATGAATGAATGAATGAATGAATGAATGAATGAATGAATGAATGAATGAATGAATGAAAATGAATGAATGAATGAAATGAATGAAATGAATGAATGAATGAATGAATGAATGAATGAATGAATGAATGAATGAATGAATGAAAATGAATGAATGAATGAATGAATGAATGAATGAATGAATGAATGAATGGAATGAATGAATGAATGAATGAATGAAATGAATGAATGAATGAATGAATGAATGAATGAATGAATGAATGAATGAATGAAATGAATGAATGAATGAATGAATGAATGAATGAATGAATGAATGAATGAATGGAAATGAATGAATGAATGAATGAATGAATGAATGAATGAATGAATGAATGAATGAATGAATGAATGAAATGAATGAATGAAATGAATGGAATGAATGAATGAATGAAATGAATGAATGAATGAATGAATGAATGAAATGAATGAATGAATGAATGAATGAATGAATGAATGAATGAATGAATGAATGAATGAATGAATGAATGAATGAATGAATGAATGAATGAATGAATGAATGAATGAATGAATGAATGAATGAATGAATGAATGAAATGAATGAATGAATGAATGAATGAATGAATGAAATGAATGAATGAATGAATGAATGAATGAATGAAAATGAATGAATGAATGAATGAATGAATGAATGAATGAATGAATGAATGAAATGAATGAATGAATGAATGAATGAATGAATGAATGAATGAATGAATGAAATGAAATGAATGAATGAATGAATGAATGAATGAATGAATGAAA